GTACAGGCCAGAGGTGCAGGGGCGGTGAGAGGATTCACCAGAGGCAGAGTGGGGAGCAGAACAGGCAGATGGTCAAAATACACTGCTGAGGGGAGAAAGCGGGCGGGTCAGGAGAGGTCTGCAAAGCCATGTGGATCACCTCCGGGGCAGGCAGGGATCAAACTCATGCGGAAGTGGCTTTAGCTTCTTAGTGTTGTGCTTTAACCTGCTGCACCACCAGGGAAGGCCCACAAAATTTAATTTTTACCAAAACATATTTGAATGCTCATTTAAAACCAGTTACAAAAATTTTAATTTTAGCCACTTCGTCCACCTAATTTTCTGGTGTCACTTTCTTTGCACAAGCTGATAATGAAATGTGTAACAAATTATAGCTGATCACACATTTGAAGTTCTAGCTTTATTTTATCAAGGTAGCAAAATCAACAGAAAAGTAACTTGGTGGTGGGGTGAGATGAAGTAACATCCATGAATATTACAAGCACTGAATAGAACATTTAAGTTTTTCCAATCACCAATATATAAAAACACTCAGTGGTGACCTAGTCAAAGTGAATATGGTAACGAATTACAAAGAGGAGACAATGGTCTGGATCATTTCCCTCCAAACCTACACCTATCAAGATCAACAAAGAACTTCTACATGGCTAAAGGTAATGTTCAGTTTTTATTCTGTACTTTGTTTAAAATAAGTTAATCAAGAGGAAGCAAAATATAAGAGTTGTCCATCTATTTCCTTTATTACTCCTGGATTTCTCTACCCAAGGGCCTTTTAGTTTAAAACCTGTTATCTTCTTCTCAATAAAACAAAACATTTATCCTTACCCTGAAGAGACAATTTCTAAATTGTCATGGAGTCATCTCCTGACTCATCATATACAAATATTTTCTATCCAATAGTTCCAATATTCCTTAATTTGCTATACTTTTACTAGAGCAAAAGAGTACTTAATTATGAGTGTTTACGGATACTCTGAAACTTCAAATGTTCTAAATTTGGGGGCTAATGAGCAATTACATGGGACAAAACATTCACAACTAATACATTTTTAAAGGTGTAATAATCCAAAAAGATTAAATGCATGTTTCAAGGTATAGAAGCAAAATAAATAGAAATACAGAGTATAGGTTCTTCACTGAGTAGGCACATATAAAGTTACTGTATAAAGTTACATGACCAAAAAGGAGGCTTCGAAAGCATCCCCTTCATTTAAAGATGGCAAAGCTGGCATTTGGAAAAGCTGGAGGTGTGTCCAAGGCCAAGCTGGAGGGAGGCTAGAAGTCAGAAGCCAAAGACAAATGTTGGCTTCCTGCTTCCAGTTCTACTCACTCACACCTAGCTTCCCCCTAACCAGGCAGAATGGTGGGCATACTACAGGCAACCAGCCAACCTACCTCTGCTTAATACACAATCTCAGATAAAACAAGTACTTTGTCAAACACCTGGTTTCTAAGATATCAAATATTTCCTCTTTGTACTAAAGGTATCTAAAATGCATATTATCTTCCATACATTTCAGACTTGAATCCTTGTCTGCAGACACAATCAACAACTTGTCAATCATCTGAAAGCTATGAGCGTTTGAGCCTGCAGTCATTGAGAGGGCATATACTTAACCTGGAAGGGACAGAGAGGGCTTCAAGGAGGCACTTAAATACATTCCTTACTGAGTCAATTACTCTGAAAGACCACAATGCAGAGAAAATTAGTTGAGTGGAGTAACTGTTGAAGCAGTTCAGAAATTTTAAGCAACATCTTGTTCTAAAGTTTATTCTCTTGTTTATTCATACTAAAGAATAACAAGTGCAAAAACCAAAAGAGAGGATATTTAGGGAAAAGTATTTTTATAGTAAGTAATTAAGTGAGAAAGATGAAAAGGAATGTCTTATTTTGGTATGAGTTAGGATGAGCAGGAATCCAAAATTTGATTTTAAGTTTTATCAAAATAATCAGAAAAATCAAAGTCTAAAAATAAGAATTAAAAAAACCTTCATCTTCCTCTCCCCCCGACTTCTGAAATACAGTGCAACTTTCTAACCATCTGTTATTTTAGAGAAGAAACAGTAATGAGCATATGGGCTTTCTCTCTCAAGCAGCTGTAGTGTAGTTAAAGTTATAATAATTGTCTTTCTGTAAGATAAATTTACATTAAAAACCTGGCCAGTTAAAAACAAATGGCTCAGCCTCAGAGCCTTCTAGAATAAAATTAAGAAATTCAGACTCTTTCAGACATACTACATTCAAAGATTCAGAGGATAGCCCCTAAATGTTGTACTTTTGTGTTTAAGATTAAACAAATGTAATTCATGATGTCCAGACCAATTTATACAGAGTCCACAATTCATGTTTTCTTTTAAATCAAAATGCTAGAATAATAACTAGCAGCAGTTATTTATATGCAAAAATCTGTACCTAAGTCGTTTGAACACTGATAATACAAAGCTACCAATTCTGTGAGTCACTAAACTATAATCAAAAGGCTCATTTATTTAAAAGAAAAAAAAATACATGTGTCACATAAACTTCCATTTCAATTACATGTCATTTTTTAAATACAGTTTACGAAAACTGAAAGGAATGCAGATGTACATATCATGAAAAACATGAATTTTACCTACCTTTATCTGGGTGATTCAAAATCATGATTCTCCTGTGAGCTGTTCTAATCTTGGCCTTGCCAGCAGATGGGCTATAAAAAAATTAAAGTGCTTATAATAAATAGTGTCAAATGCAGATTATAAATTAATGGTTTATATGGGTTTCAAGAAATTAAAAATAGTGAGGATTTCACCATCTTGTGGATAAATATGAAATTACACTTATCATTTAATCTATCAGCCATCAAAATAAATCACTAATTCAATTCAAAATTGCTTCTATTTTTCAGCAGTCCTTTGTAATGCCAGTCCTTAATTAATTTAAAAGATAGAAAAACAGATATGGATAGGTGAGTCACTGTCTGAGTACCATACTGTAAACTTATACTTCAAGTTATTTTGAGGGAAGGTGATAGACAGGTTTTTGGACACCATAGTCAATAGAATGCCAGATTTTAAAACTGGCATACCTTGGAATGTAGAAGCCTTAGTCAATTTTTTTTTTTAAAGATTTATTTGTGCATACAGAACTGGGGTACAGATCAGAGATGTGGAGGGTGAGAAGATTCACCAAAGACAGAGTGGGTAGTAGAACAGGCCGACTTACAAAGTACACTGCAGAGGAGAGCAGCAGGGGGGGGGGGGGGGGGCTGAAGGGGTGTCAGGAGAGGTCTGCTGCACCATGTGGATCACCTCCGGGGTGGGAATCAAACTCATGCTGAAGAGGCTTTAGCTTCTTAGTGTAGTGTTTTAAACCACTGCACCACCAGGGAGAGCCCAGTCAATTTTTTTTAACCTCTCTATGTTTCTGTTGCCTCACCATAAAACAGGGCTAAAAATAATATATTACTCATAGAGTAATTATAAGAATTAAAGTCAACAAAATGCTAGACCAATTTTGAATGATACTAAGTGATTACTATCATCTTTCAACAGAACATCTAAAAATCCTTCAATCTCATAACTTATTTAGCTTTATAAAGAACACTTATGAAAAATTACTATTAAAGCCTATATTCTAAACAAAAATTAAAGGAGAAAGTTAAGTAAATCTCAAATTATTTCAGTAAAACCTAATTTATCTGGTATTTGAATGTTTCTCATTAGTATATTTCCCAGACAAGGAAAAACAATTAACACTAACAACAAGCAAAATACTAGTATTACAATTAATAACTATTCTAGATAATCTGAGTTACTTTTTCTTTTTTTATATTTCTTTTTTACATAATTTTTCATTTTTTTTGCATTTTTTCCCCCATCTCAGTTGTAATCCCCATGGGCTTCCCACCAATTCACCCATGTGCATCACCATAACCCTGTGTACTCTTCCCACACCAGTTTTGAACCCATTTCACTTTCTACCTCATAACATGTCTCTGGTTTAAAGTTCGTTGTTTTCATTTTAACTTATTACATTTACTTCTCTACTCTTTACCCCACCCCACTCCCTGCCACCCCACCGTTCCCTTATGCTCCTGCTATGAGTGAAACCATCCAGTAATTTTATCTTTCCAGCTTATTTAACAGAGCATTCCTTCCAATTCCACCCTTGTTGCTGCAAAAGGTCTGACTTTATCTTTTTTGACAGCTGAATTATATACCATTGTGTATATGTACCACATCTTTTTAATCCAGTCATCTACTTTTGGGCATTTGGGTTGATTTCACATCTTCCCAATTGTAAACAGTACAGCAGTAAACATGGGGGTGTTCATGTACTTTTGAATCGATGTTTTTGTGTCCTTTGGGTATATACTTAAGAGTGGGATTGCTGGGTCATAAGGAAGCTCTATTTTTAGCAGTCTGAGGAACCTCCAAACAGCTTTCCATAGTGGTTGTATCAGTTTGCATTCCCACCAGCAGTATAGGAAAGTTCTTTTTTCTCTACATCCTTACCAACATTTGTTGTTGCTAGTTTTAATATGTGCCATTCTCACTGGTGTGAGGGCATATCTCATTGTGGTTTTAATTTGCATCTCCCTTATTACAAGTGATGTTGAGCATTTTTTCATATGCCTGTTGGCCATCTGCATTCCCTCTTTGGAGAAGTGTCTAGGTGGTTCTTCTGCCTATTTTTTGATGGGGTTGTTCACTTTATTTCTGTTGAGTTTAATCAGCATTTTGTATATCTTTGTGATCAGTCCTTTATCATTAGTATTGTGTGTAAATATTTTCTCCCAATCAGTGGGGTGTCCCTTTGTTTTGTGTAGTGTCACTTATGCTGTACAGAAGCTCTTTAACTTGATCTATTCCTAGCTGTTTATCCTTTCCTTCACTATCCTTGCTTTGGGTGATATATCTTCAAAGATGTTACTGAGTTATATGTCATATGGTGTTTCACCCACATTTTCTTCCAGATATTTTATGGTTTCAGGTCTTATGTCTAGTTCTTTAATCCACTTTGAATTGGTTTTTGTGTGTGGTTTGAGGTAGTGATCCAGTTTCATTTTTTTGCACATAGCCCTCCAGTTTTCCCAGCACCATTTTTTGAACAAACTTTCTTTGTCCCATTGCATATTCTTTGTTACATTGTCAAAAATTACCTATCCATAAGCCTGTGGGTTAATAGCTGGGTTTTCTATTTGTATCCACTTGTCTCATATGTCTGTTCTTTTTCCAGTACCATGCAGTTCTGATTATTTTTTTTTTAGTACTAGATTTTTTTTAAGATTTATTTATTTATGCATACATAACTGGGGTACAGGCCAGAGGTGCGGGGGCAGTGAGAGGATTCATCAGAGACAAAGTGAACAGAACAGGCAGATAGACTAAGTACACTGCTGAGGGCGAGATAGGAGAGGTCTGCTGCACCGTATGGGCCAGGGATTGAACCTGCACTGAAACGACTGCAACTCGCTTGAGTGCTGCACTTTAACCCACTGTACCACCAGGGAGGGCTTGCAGTTTTGATTATTATGGCTTTGTAGTATAGCTTGAAGTCTGGGAAATGTCAAGGTTTCAAACTGGAATAATAGTAGTTGACAATGTACAGGATGGATGCTGTGAATTTCAAAATAACTTAAGTCTTTGGGAAGAGCATTTTAAATTACTGATTTCATTATAGACTTCTGTAAATAGTCAAACAGAATACCTTAGTCATTCTCTGAACATAACTCATTTTCATTTAAAATTTTTCTTTAAATTTTAAATATCCCCAGTTTTATTGAGATACAACACTGTGTACTAGTTTAAGATATATAACATACAGATCTGTTATATGTATATACTGCAAAATAATGACAGTAAGTTTTAGCATCTTTTACCTCACATACAGATTTTTTTTTTCTGGTGGTAAGAACTTTTAAGATTTGCTCTTGCTAACCTTCAAAATATACAATATAGTGTTTGCTAACTATAGCCACAATAATGTACATTCCAATCCATCACCTACTCCCACCCATCCCTAGTTCTAGCAACTATCAAATATGTTTTTTCTAAGGGTACCACTTTTTTACATTCCACATGTAAGTGAAATCGCATATTATTTGATTATTTTTCTCTGTCTGACTTATTTTGCCACTTAGAATAACAGTCTCAAGGGCCATCTATTTTACTCCAAAAGACAGAAATCTATTTTTATATGATGAACTGATATTTCATCATGCGTACATGTGTATGCAACATTACTATTTATTATTATTATTATTATTCTGTCTAGTCATCTGCTGATAGATAAGTAGATTGCTTTCATTTCTTTGCTACTATAAATAATGTTGCAGTGAATCTGAGGATCAGCTATCTCTTTGAGTTGGTGATTTTATTTTCATATACCCAGAAGTGAAAATACTGGATCATATAGGGTCATTTTATTTTTAATTTTCAGGAACCTCCATACTGTTTTCATAGTACCTGAACCAGTTTATATTCCCACCAAAAGAATAGTGCCCAAGAGTTTCCTTTCTCCACATCTTAAAACGCATTGTCTCTTGTCTTTTTGACAGTCATTCTTAAGGTGTGAGATAATAATCTCATTGTACTTTTGATTTAAATCTATCTGATGACTAATGATGCTGATTTGCTTTTCATGCATCTCTGGACATTTTATGGCTTTGGAAAAATGGCTATTCAGAGCCTCTACCTACTTCTAAATCTGATTGGTTGTTTTGCAATTAAAATCCATGAATTTGTTTGTTTTTTAGTACACTCTGGATGCAACCCTTTATCAGAAATACATTTTGCACGTTTTCTCCCATTTCATTTTCCCCACTCTATTTTCATTTTACTGATAGTTTTCTTTATACAGAAGATGTTTCATTTGATGTAGCCCTAACTTGTTTACTTTTGCTTTTTCTTGCCTGTGCTTCTATTGTCAAATGCAAAAAGTCATGTCCCAGACAGATGTCATGGAGTATATTTCCTATATTTTCTCTGGGGAGTTTTGTGGTTTTAGATCACATATTCAAGTCTTTAATCCATTGTGAATTAATCTGGGGCTACGGTATAAGATCAGGGCCTGCGTTCATTTTATTGAAATGACAGTCCTCCCCCTCCCACTATCTATTAGTGACTTCTTTGTTGTAAATTAATTGGTCATATGTACACGGATTTATTTCTGTATTCTTTATTTTCTTCCATTGACCTCTGTGTCAGTTTCTCTGCCAACCTATACTGTTTTGATCACTATATCTTTGTAACATAGTTTGAAATGGTGACATGTGATACTTTCAGCATTGTTCTTCCTTTCCTGTTTTGGTTACTTGGGATCATTTGTGATTCCATACAAATTTTAGAAGTGTCTGTGAAAAAATAGCTTTGGCATCTTTATAGGAATTTCATTGAATCTCTAGATTGTTTTGAGTAGCATGACCATTTTAACAATATTCTTCCAACTCATGAGCACAGAATGTCTTCCCATTTGTTTTGTCTTACATCAATGGCTTACAGTTTTCAGTGTGTGGGTCTTTTACCTCCTTGGTTAGACTGATTCTTAGGCATTTTATTTTTTAAATATATAATTGTAACTTTGATTGTTTTTCTTAATTTCTAATTTTTCTTTCTGGGAATGTTATTGGTACACAGACACATAGCTAGCATGTATATATTAATTTTATAGCCATCAATTTTACTCAATTTGCTTCTAAGTTCAAGT